TTTAATGAACATCTCAGCTTAACATTTGTTACTGGTAGAGGATTGTTTTAAATGATTGTAGCTTTGCAGCAGCAGCAGTAACAGTAGCAGTAAAAGTTGTTAATGTCAAAGCTAGAAGTGAACAGATTTAGAAAAAAGATCTCTACCATAAAAATGCATACAATACTGGGAACCTTGAGAAATGTTTAAACTTTTACACATGATCAGCTCAGTGAAAAAAACCTCCATCAGCTCTTTTTCAAGAATGAAAGACAATTTTCTTTTACTATGGTAGTTCTTTCTTCTGGCATATATTGTATCTAGATATGAAGATATAATAAGATATGTACAGAGTGTACCCCTATGTGACAGCAAAATAAATAAATCAATAGATAATGTATATAATAAACATGAATACAAATGGAGCCATTAAGGTACTATAAAAAGTGCAAATCGTGACTATATATAAATTCAATCCACATAAAATGCAATAAATCAATAAACAGCAGTTTTGGGCCAGCAAGGCCTTTTCTGCTGGGCTAAACATTGCCTAAACTATCAGAATCACTGACTTTAATGTTAATTTGTTTTTTTCATGACTGTGTTAATCCCAATATAGTCTGTTATCTTCATTGCATAGCTTTTCTCTTGTTTTTGCTGTTTCCAGTAGTGCCTGCTTATGTTAGAGCTTTTATCCCATCATATTTTATCCATGATAGGAGTTGCTGAGTTTTGCGTCTCCCTATAGTCCTGCACAGCCAGGCAACACACATTCCTTCAGATCTTGCACACAGGAGACAGTAAACCATCCTTGATCTTGTTTTCTGGGTTTTATTAAGGGGTATTAAAATTGGATGGGGTTGATGGGTGTATGGAATGCCCAAGAAACTGGCACTTGAGGACAACTCCTTAGCAACTATGTCCACAGACAAAGATTCTCTTCTTGGAAAGCTCTCCAGCCCTCCTGGTGTACCTGGAAACTGCAAATTTAAACAAAAAGTCCCAGATGGGGGCTTATCAAGTTTCCCACCAGAATGCCCTCTCCTCTTGTCTGGCCCAGGGTGTGTATTATTACTTACTCAGTCCTCTCCTGCTAGCTTGTGGGTTAGTGGCTGGGCTTGTTCCTTCATTGCTTCAGAGAATGTCCTTAGCTCCTTTGCCTTTAGGTAGGCCCCCCTCCCTGCCCCCCCCCCCCCCGACTCCACACTCCAGCCTTCTCACATCTTCACCTCAACACTCTTCTGCTGCTCTTAAGGGCTGCCCTGGCCCCATGCCTGCTCTGGGATTGGCCAGAGTCCTTTAAGTGTGCAGATCAGCCCCTCCTCACCCCCACCCACTGCCTTCTAGAAACTTCTCAAGTCTCTAGAGCAGAAGGGGGTATCAGGGAATTGATCTGCAGAACCATCAACTCTGACAGGAAATGATCTGGCTGACTCACAAGCTGATATCCAGCCTTTCTCTCTAAATAAAAACTAGCTAGCTCCCCCCGACTAACTAGAGGGGCACTATATCAGGATCAAAGAAATCTGCCTTGAGGCCATAAGAATCAACAGTGCAGGTGCCTGTAGCTTGTAGCTTTCTTTAAATGGCAATAAAACTGTGGCTTTTGAGCTAGTGACACCTGGGCTAACTAGCAGGTGTACAATCAAATTCATACAAAAAATGGTAACCACCCCAACCTATAACTGGCCTTTACAGCAAGGTGCCCATGAAAGGGCAACATGAATTACAAACAAACAAAAGAGTTTCCAGCGCACTAACCAGCCAGCCTGCAAAATTACCGAATTACCTTGTCTAACAGTTTACATTACAAACAGAAGGGTTTGTTTAATAAAATATATATAGTAAGCGCTCATCTACAATGTAAAGCAGTTGAACATTAAAGGAAAACACATAAAAGTCCCAAAATACATAAATAAAAGAAATGCAGCGCTCTTAAAAATTAATGAATATAGTGATAAACACAGTCCGGTGAGAACAGTGCTCCTTGATTCCCAGTGCAAATGGTAGAAATTCACACTAACCAGAACGCGCATGGGTAATACGCATGTGTATATATATATCCTGAAGATCCCCTCTCCTCTCAGGTCTGGTCAGGGGGAAATAGCTGGGAAAGATGGAGATCCTACGCCCTCATGTGGTAAGAAAGTGGTCCAGCAGGTCAGAGCAGTATCAATCTGGATAAGCCTCCAAAGGAGCTGACACAAGGGATCACCAGGGCTGCAAGGATGCTATTACCCATGCACGTTCTGCATGTCAGAGTGTGGAACATATGTTCCACCTCTGCAGAAGTGCGTGCGCACGAAACGCGTCAGATGGAACCCAGGACGCCGTTGATACTAAGCCGTCGGTGCCACGAGGAGGGCCCGGCGGCCATCTTGACTTCTTAAAGGGTCAGTGTGTTTGTTCATACTTGGCTATGTGATACTCATTATGCACCTGTGTTTTCTGGAAAAAGTTTTACCTATACACTATGAGTGCTTCCCTATGTCTCCTGTGTGGAGCTTCTTCCATCCTTGCAGCCCTGGTGATCCCTGTGTCAGCTCCTTCGGAGGCTTATCCAGATTGATATGCTCTGACTGCTGGACCACTTTCTTACCCATGAGGGCGTAGGATCTCCATCTTTCCCAGCTATTTCCATCTGACCAGACCTGAGAGGAGAGGGGACTTCAGGATATATATATATACACATGCGTATTACCCATGCGCGTTCTGGTTAGTGTGAATTTCTACCATTTGCACTGGGAATCAAGAAGGGTTTGCTTGCATATGTATGCAAATATATGCGTAAGCCACATTGCCTACAACAAGGGACCTGTGTATATACTGCGATCCTAACTAAGAAAACAAACGTAACAATCACATCTAAGAATAGGTAAACTGCAATATAATAAATGTTTACTTTTGGGTTTAACCTCTTCCGGATGGCCGAATGGCGGCCGGCAAAAACCCTCACCTTTCCGGGTGGACGCCATATGGTGTCCTTTCAGGCATGCGCAGTTTGCACGTCTGCAGAGCCACTCAGCGGCGCCATCTGTCACCGGCCATGTACCTCGGACACGGCCGATGACAGCTCTGAGTAACGGCCCGGTGACAGTACCATGTGACCTGCTGTGACCAATCACAGCAGGTCACATGACAGTTGTATACAATGGATGGCTTCATTCATGCCATCCATTGTATACTAGTGTGTCTAGCTGTGAATGGTCACAGCGATCACATGCACAAGCTGGGCCAATCACAGCCCAGCTGTGTAATGTGATTAGCCTTGGCCAAATCACAGCTAAGCACAAAAAAAAAAACCCCTAAATGAATCGATGTCATTCAGGTAAATGCTTGCTTATAGCAAAGGTATTCTTTGCTTTAAGCAAATTGTGTAAAAAAAAAAAAAAATACCGTATTTTCCAGCGTATAAGACGACCCCCTACTTTTCCTGCTAAAATGTAGTGTTTGGGCTATACTCGCCGTATAAGACTACCCCTCTTCCAATGCACACCAGTGGGAGGAATAGTGCCCCATCATCGGTGTCAGTGAGAGAAATAGTGCCCCATCATCGGTGTCAGTGGGAGGAATAGGGCCGCCTCATTGGTGTCAGTTGGAGGAATAGTGCCCCATCATTGTATTAGTGGGAGGAATAGTGCCTCATCATTGGTATTAGTGGAAGGAATAGTGCCCCATCATTGGTATTAGTGGGAGGAATAGTGCCCCATCATTGGTGTCAGAGCGACGAATCGTGCCCCATCATTGGTGTCAGTGGGAGGAATAGCACCCCATTATTGGTGTCAGTGAGAGGAATCGTGCCCCATCATTGGTATCAGTGGCAGGAATAGTGCCCTATCATTAGTATCAGTGGGAGGAATAGTGCCCCATCTTTAGTGTCAGCGGGGGGAATCGTGCCCCATCATTAGTATCAGTGGGAGGAATAGTGCCCCATCTTTGGTGTCAGTGGGGGAATCGTGCCCCATCATTGGTATCAGTGGCAGGATTAGTGCCCCATCATTAGTATATCAGTGGGGGGAATAGTGCCCCATCATTGGTGTCAGTGGGAGGAATAGTGTCCCATCATTGGTGTCAGTGGGGGGTGGAATAGTGCCCCATCATTGGTGTCAGTGGGAGGAATAGTGCCCCAACATTGGTGTCAGTGGGAGGAATAGTACCCCATCATTAGTATCAGTGGGGGGAATAGTGCCCCATCATTGGTGTCAGTGGGAGGAATAGTGCCCCAACATTGGTGTCAGTGGGAGGAATAGTGTCCCATCACTGGTGTCAGTGGGGGGTGGAATAGTGCCCCATCATTGGTGTCAGTGGGGGGGGGAGGAATAGTGCCCCATCATTGGTGTCAGTGGGGGGGAGGAATAGTGCCCCATCGTTGGTGTCAGTGGGAGGAATAATGCCCCATCATTAGTATCAGTGACACCAATGATGGGGCACTATTACTCCCACTTACACCAATTACACTTGCTGACCGATGTTCTAGTATGGTGCTGCTGCAGCCAGCATATGTGATTGCAGCAGCACCTCCACACTGCACACTTACCGGCCCCTCATTCACTCGATTGTCGCGGGGCCGCTTGGCTCCGCCCCCTCGCCGGTGATTGGCCGCCTGTGTGCCTTTCCTGAGCTACAGTTCTGGCGGCCAATCACCGGTGAGGAGGCGGAGCCGAGCAGCCACGCGAACATCCAGTGGCTGAACTGGAGGAGCAGCCGTGCTTCCTGGACCGGATCGTCGTGGGACCGGAGCCAGGTAAGAAACAGCAGCCCCTGCCCACCCCTGTACTTAGTTTCCCTTCCGCGCCGCCCCCCTAAAAAGTGTCAGTATGCCGTATACCGGCGTATAAGACGACCCCCGACTTTTGAGAGGATTTTCAAGGGGTAAAAAGTCATCTTATTCCCCAGAAAATACGGTACTGATCACTTCCCTAAAGTAGTAGAATGTTACTATGGTAACATTGTACTACTTTGGTCATAGTGAAATTTGAAAAAAAATCTTTAAAAAAAGAAAAAAAAATGTAATAAAAAATTTAAAATAATAAAAATTTTTTTTAAAAATTATAATTTTTTTTTTCATACTGTCACCAGTCAGTGTCCCTGATCACCGCCATGCCAGTTATATGATGATGCTGTACTGCACTGGTGACAGTATGTAAAAAAAAATAGTGAAAATAATTTTTTTAATTTTTTAATTTTCCGAAAAATTATGACAAAAAAAATACAACTTCAAAAAACTCGCCATGCCTCTTATGAAGTACGTCGGGCTGTCTACTTTGCAAAAAGGGGTCATTTGGGGGATATCTGTACTGTTCTGACATTCTTGGACCTCAAGAAATTACATTGGCTGTCAGTACTTTAGGATTGATCAATATTCAGATATATCCCATAGTTTGTGAACTCTTTAACTTTCCTACAAACTAAAAAATACATCCTAATTTGGGTTATTTTCACCAAAGACATGTAGCAGAATACATCTCGGCCTAAATTTATGAAGAACAATTATTTATTTGCAAACTTTTATAACAGAAACAAAGAAAAATGTGTTTTTTTTTTTCAAAATGTGCAGTCTTTTTTTTGTTAATTTACCAAAAATAAAAACCCCAGTGGTGATTAAATACCACCAAAAGAAAGCTCTAGTTATGTGAAGAAAATGGTAACATTTTAGTTTGGGTACAATTTTGTATGACCGCGCAATTGTCATTCAAAGTGTGAGAGCGCTGAAACCTGAAAATTGGCCTGGGCAGGAAGGGGGTAAAAGTGCCCTGCATGGAAGAGGTTAATATCGCTTTAATTAATTTTGCTGATTAATAGGTGTAGCAATCGTGCACACAGAGATGGATGCAAACCTCCCTTTTGGCAAAGGCCGCTATCTTGAATAATTTTCTACTCTAAATTCCCCCTCCCCCTCTGTTGAGTGACATGTGGTCTGTTTGATGCAGAGATCAAAGGCAGCAAACTCATTGGGAGGGCGTCATGGTTATAAACCCCAGTTAGCCTGGTCCCCGTATGTCTGCGAGACTTTTGCTGGAAAAGGATCGTAAAGCCATAAACCAAGTCCTTCACTGAGCCTCAAAGACATTCCAGGTAGTCGTAAAACAGGCTCACATTTAAACATCCCCTTTTCCCCTATGATTTCATATCTTGGAATATGGAAGACTTACATAAAAACCAGGCATAAATTCAGATCGGTGACTTTAATACAAGTCACCTGATATATTACACCCCCTAGCTGACATCTACACGAGAGCAGAAAATGATATCTCCTTAACCGTCACAGCAGGTATGTCATATTTCATATCTAGACGTTCAGTAGATGCGTCTGCATATTAATCTACTAGTGCCAAGGCTGCTAAATGCATCGAGGGTAAGTTATGGGTCATGATATAAGCTGAGAGGGATTTTGGTTCTAGCTGGGGTCTCCACCTACACCTCCCTCCCCAAATGAGGCTATTGGTTCTCTGCTTCAGGGAAACACCCTGCTGAGTTCCTAGAAAAGCTGTTATGCTTGGAGCTAAGCTAAGTGCAGTTGAAGTTAAAGATTCTCCCTTGTAACATCGGAACCAACTTTGGGAGACAGCCCTTTTGTTCTGACACTTGAAAGCTGCTTAAACCAGGACTTTTGGCAAGTACTTTATCTCTCTAAATTTCTTTCTGTTATATCGTTGCTGTGTTATTGCTCTCTGTATATTTATATATATACAGTAAGGAACAAAAGTATTTGAACACCCTGCGATTTTGCAAGTTCTCCCACTTAGAAATCATGGAGGGGTCTGAAATTCACATTGTAGGTGCATTACTACTCTGAGAGACATAATTTAAAAAAAAATTCAGGAAATCACATTGTATGATTTTTAAAGAATTTATTTGACTTGCACTGCTTAACATAAGTATTTGAACACCTGAGAAAATCAGTGTTAATATTTGGTACAGATTTTTTTGCAATTAGAGAGGTCAAATGTTTTCTGTAGTTCTTGACCAGGTTTGCACACTGCAACATGGATTTTGGCCCACTCCTCCACACAGATCTTCTCTAGATCTGTCAGGTTTCGGGGCTGTCGCTGAGCAACACGGAGTTTCAGCTCCCTCCAAAGATGTTCTATTGGATTTAGGTCTGGAGACTGGCTAGGCCACTCCAGAACCTTGATATGCTTCTTACAGAGCCACTCCTTGGTTATCCTGGCTGTGTGCTTTGGGTCGTTGTCATGTTGGAAGACCCAGCTACGACCCATCTTCAATGCTCTGACTGAAGGAAGGAGGTTTTTGCTCAAAATCTCACAATAAATGGTCCCTTTCATCCTCTCCTTAATACAGTGCAGTGGTCCTGTCCCCTTTGCAGAAAAGCACCCCCAAAGCATGATGTTACCACCCCCATGCTTCACAGTAGGGATGGTGTTCTTGGGATGCAACTCATCCTTCTTTTTCCTCCAAACACGACGAGTGAAGTTTAGACCAAAAAGTTCTACTTTGATCTCATCTGACCACATGACTTTCTCCCATGCCTCCTCTGGATCATCCAGATGGTCATTGGCAAACTTCAGACGGGCCTGGACATGTGATGACTTGAGCAGGGGAACCTTCCATGCAATGCATGATTTGAAACCATGACGGCGTAGTGTTCTACCGACAGTGACCTTTGAAACTGTGGTCCCAGCTCTCTTCATGTCATTGACCAGCTCCTCCCTTGTAGTTCTGGGCTGATTCCTCACCTTTCTTTTCATCAGTGATACCCCACGAGGTGAGATCTTGCATGGAGCCCCAGTCCGAGGGAGACTGACAGTCGTCTTTAGCCTCTTCCATTTTCTAACAATTGCTCCAACAGTTGATATATTTTCACCAAGCTGCTTGGCAATTGCCCCGTAGCCCTTTCCAGCCTTGTGGAGGTCCACAATTTTGTCTCTGGTGTCTTTTGACAGCTCTTTGGTCTTGCCCATGGTAGTAGTTGACGTCTGACTGACTGTGGGGTGGACAGGTGTCTTTAAGGAGCTCAGACAGGTGCTACTAATTTAGATTAATGAGCGGAGTAGAGGTGGACTTTTTAAAGGCACAGTAACAGGTCTTTGAGAGCCAGAATTCTTGCTGTTTCTTAGGTGTTCAAATACTTTTGTTCAGCAGTGCAAGACAAATAAATTGTTTAAAAATCATACAATGTGATTTCCTGAATTTTTTTTTTAATTCTGTCTCTCAGAGTGGAAATGTACCTACAATGTGAATTTCAGACCCCTCCATGATTTCTAAGTGGGAGAACTTGCAAAATCGCAGGGTGTTCAAATACTTCTGTTCCGCACTGTATATTGGCTACATCTTTTTCTGTAAATATTTTCATGGCACCCTTTTGAACTTTTAGTAATAAATCTTACTTTCTAAAAGTGTTGAACTGTTTCTAAAGCTCTTTAATGCAAACTAAGAACCCCTGTCTCTGAAGACCGCTACTGTGTGTGTTTAAACCTCTATATATCTCTGCCTGCGGTGGCAGTGGTATACAGATGTTTATTCAACCATCATAGTGTTATTGCTGATATTGCTGAGCTTCCTCTTTCTCTGTACAAAAAGGAGGAGGTGGCAGTGTGAAGGGTTAATTGCGTAATTAACCTGACCCAGTAACAATCGCTCCCAGGCTGCAAGTATGCAGATTGTGGTCCATTAGCTGAAAAATCTTTGTGCAGGGTGCAGCTGGGCGTGGCATTGTTATGCACGTGACAGCGCGGTTTTAGATTGGCTAGTCCTTCGGTCACGAGTTTGGTGAGAAGGGCTGGGGTCTGACGCCGCAATCGTCACAATAGGTAATCCAGGTCCTGCTTCTTTCTGTTCTATTAAGCACTGATAATGACATTGACTGAAATACTTGCAGACAACACTATCCCTCTTTTGTCAAAGCGTATACTAGATTTTGCCAGCAGCCTCTCAACTTCTTGTGTTAGCTGGTGATCTCCCTCTCTATTCTGGGTGAAGCACAGCTGGTCTGTGTCTATAGTGTTCTTTCCCCTTGATCAGGCAGCAGGCTCTACTCTGTGGCACTCTCCAATTGGATGATGTGCGGCATAAGCTTCTAACATTGGCCCTAAAATGCCAGGATAGTAGAAGCTCCCCCCCCCCACCAAATTACCCCTTTTTGGAAAGTAGACACTTTAAGGTATTTGCTAAGAGGTATGGTGAGTATTTTGCAGATCTCATTTTTTGCCACAAGTTTTTGGAAAATGAAGAAAGAAAACAAAAATATTTTTTTTTCTTTTCTATTTCTTTTTCAAAATCTTGTGACAAATTGATATCTGCAAACTATGGCTTTTATCAAATTTCTTTGGGTGTCTACTTTCCAAAAAGGAATTGTTTGGGGGGGGGGGGTGGTGTTTGCACTATCCTGGCATTTTAGTGCCTCTGAAACTGTGATAGGTAGTGAGGAAGTGACATGAGGAAATATGCCCTTTGAAAACCTGAAGGTGGTCATTGGATTTTGGGGGCCTCTATATGGCTAGGCTGCCAAAATGTCCCTCACATGTGGTATCCCCATACTTGGGAGAAGTAGCAGAATGTGTTTTGGGGTGTTATTTCACATATATCCATGGCATGTGTGAGCAATATATTATTTAAGTGAAAACGTTGTGTAAAAAAAATTGGTCATTTTCTAAAAATTTGTGACAAAAAATAAAATCTTCTATGGACTCAACATGCCTCTCAGCAAATTTCTTGGGGTGTCTACTTTTCAAAAAGGGGTCATTGGGGGGGGGGGTTGTACTGCCTTGGCATTTTAGCACCTCAGGAAATGTGATAGGCAGTCAGAAAGTAAAAATAGTTTAAATTCCAATACATATACCATAGTTTGTAGACACTATGACCGTTACACAAACCAATTAATATACATTTATTGTTTTTTTGTTTTTTTTTCACCGAAGACATGTCGCAGAATACATTTTGGCCTAAATTTATGACTAAATTTGAATTCATTGGATATTTTGTATAACAGAAAGTTATATTGGTTATTTTTTTCCCTTCTGTAATTCACATAGTCTCCTTGAGATTGATCTTCTCCCCGCTGGGCATTTATCTCTGTCTAGGTAAAGTGTATGTCTAGTTAAAACATTTTTTAGTTTT